TGGTCTGAATATTTTTATTTCATTTATCCCAGTGTTTTTGTTGGTCTGAATATTTTTATTTCATTTATCCCAGTGTTTTTCAATCCAGGCAGCTTTAAGAGGTGTGGACTTCAGCTGGTAGGGGGAATTCTGGAAGTCGAAATCCACACATCTTAAAATCATCAGGTTTGAAAAACATCAGGTTATACTCAATCCCCTTTCTCGTGGCTTTTTATACCCGAATTTTCCTTCCCACTTCCAAAAGAATTGTAGTGCAAATTGAACATAAGCTAAATCATCATTTGTAGGATTTTCCTGCTGGAGATGTTTATTATTTCCCTTTTGGGTTCAATTTGGGGCATGTTGCTATTTCCTTAAACTTGCTAATAGTTTCCTTGTCTATGTGGACAGTGCTTAGTTACACAACTCTTAAAAGAAAATATTCATTGTAGTATTTAAACTTTCCTCAACCTGACGTCTTCCAGAAGTGTTTGACCACACACAACCAGTTAGATCAGGGGTGTCAAACTCAGTTTCATTGAGGGCCGCATCAGGGCTGTGATTGACCTTGGTGTGTGTGTGGGGAGTGGGGCAGCTGGGTGGGCGTGGCCATCTTGATGCCACTCCCCAAATTGCTGGCATGTTACCTCTTCGCATTGGGTAGACTGGGCCAAAGCAAGGCAGGTAGACCAGACTGAAGTGATGTGGGCCAGCCCCTTACATTTTCCAGGATGGCCCCCGTAGGCCAAATCTGACCACATCCAGCCCACGGGCCTTAAGTTTGACACCTCTGAGTTAGATGGTCCGAGGAACTGTGATACAAGCAGTCCTTGACTTACGACCACAACTGAGAACACAATTCCCATTGTTAAGTAAACTGGTTGTTAGGTGAGTTGTGCCTAATTTTCCAACCATTTTGCCAAGGTTGTTAAGTGGATCATTGCAATTGAAAAAGTGAACCCTGCGGTCTTTAAGTAAATCTGGAGTTTCCCATTGACTTTGCTTGCTAGAAACTGGCTGGGAAGATTGCAAATGGCAGTCATGTGGCCCCAGGACACCGCAAACATTGTAAATACATGCCGGATGCCGAGCAAAGAAATTGTGATCACATGACCTTGGGATGGCTATGTTGGTTGTAAGTGTGAGAATGGGTTGTAAGTGCCGTTGTAACTTTGAATGGTCACTAATGAATGGTTGTTCATCAAGAACTACCTGTACTGCACAGGCGGGTTGCTCCCTGTTCAGCCCGGATCGGGTGAACCGGTAGTAGCGGCGGCGGGAGGCTCCGCCTACCCTTCCAGACACGAGTGCGCCCAAACCGGTAGTAAAAAAATTGGCAACCCACCACTGCTCTACTGTATATACATCTGACAAACCCAGATTGGGGAAAATTGATAAGTAGGAGATATCACAGGAATACATTTCTGCAGAAATGCACAAGTAATCAAGAATGACCGTACTTTCTATAACTATTTTACATCCCTTTCCTTCACATTTCTTTTTCTGCTAGTTTCTCACCGACGCTGGGGACTGCTGGCCTCTGCTGTAGTTTTGGGCTTGGGATTTCTAGCTTTGGCAATCTTCCTGATTCACTGGAATATGCACAGACTCCGTAGAGGTAAAAAGCATCAGAAGAACTGGTTTATAATGCATGTGGGTGGATATGGCTCCATACTTTTGCCAATCTCAAGCAGCGAAGCAGAAAATATGATTTTGCAGTAGAAGCCTGTCAGTTTCGTGAGAAATTGAGACTCATAGTCAGCCAGAAAGATAATAACTTTTTGCAACGTGCGTAGACTTGACACACCTTTAATGCCAAATGTGGTTGGTTTGTTGGTTTTTGTCACAGCACAATACAAGCGGTCCTTGGGTTATGACTGGTCATTAGTGCCTGTTTGATGCTATAATAGACCTTTTAAAAAAATCTACTTACGACCTGCATTCAAAGTTCCCATAATAAACTATGCTTTAATGACCGTGGCATTTGCTTAATGATTAAAGCAAAAAAAAAAGATTGCCAAATTGGTTGTGGTCACATGACCCACTTAATCACTATGATGACTTACAATCAAAATTGCAGTAATTGCAATGGTAAGTTGAGGATTTACCTGTAAATGCAAATTTGCTAATCAGGGCTCAGTATTACAAGATCCTGGGACACGTATAATTCGCATAGTACTACATATAGAACAGTCCACACTTACCTGTTTAATAGTCTGTATTTTAAAATGATCATTGTGCTGGTTTAATGTTGTATCTACAAGGATCTAAGTGTTAATAAAAAAAACCCTCAAGCAAACTAAAATCGAACATGTACTGGAGTACATGGCATAGAGAGAAAGGCTAAAAAGAAGTGAATTTGAGTTGATTCAGGTGAACTTACTTTAAGGAATTATTTCTAAGGCTTCCAAATGTGGATTATTTTTAAAAAAAACCTTTACCTTTACTATTTGTCTTGTCTTTGAGATAAATATTTCATATATAATATGCATGGGAAGATTCCTACTTGTTTCTTTGAATATTTTGATTTATATTTTCCTTTCTTCTCATATAACATGCCAAGTAGCTTAATCTTAGAAGATCCAATCAAATATCTTTATTATGGTCTCTGACTAGCCTTTACAATAGCAGTACAGTAAAAAAAAGAGAAATTTTTTTAGCACAATACTTTGTTGTTGGGGAAGAGAAAAAATAATAATAGGACAATAAAACAACCTACCTAATTACCAGTAAAAGTTTTAGAAGATCAATTGTTTTCCTCAGCAGACTATTAGATTCCAATGAGCAAAGAGCCAAGATCCTGTAAGAAGCATTTCTCATCCCTTTCCCTTCTGTTTCTCTTCCAGACGTACCTTGCCGGCATCATTCCCGTCCCATCCTGCTGATCTATTCTCCTGATTCAGAGGAGCACAAACAGTTGGTCTGCTCCTTTGCCGCATTGTTGCGGTCGGCGCTGGGCTGCCCTGTGCTATTGGACCTCTGGGAATTGGGCCATGTGGGACGACAGGGCATCTTGCCCTGGATGTATGCCCAACGGGAACTCGTGGGTCGCAAGCAGGGCCAGGTGCTACTGCTGTGGAGCGCAGGCAGTGCCAATGCTTATGGACTCTGGCAAGGAGAAGTAAGCAGCCCTGGTAAGAAAGCCCCAGAACCCTATGACCTCTTTGGGGCAGCCATGGCCTGTTTACAAGCGGAACTTCAGGGTACGGCTGGAAAGGTCCAGCGATGTGACTGGGTGATTGCCTATTTCAGTAAACTGTGCAACCGGCGGGATATTCCCCGTGCTCTGCACCTTCTTCCCCGTTACCGCCTGCCTCAGGACTTGCCGGACCTGGTTGGGGTCCTGCAGGGCAACTCCAGCTCAGGACCCAGCTGGCTCCATGCTAGCGCCAAAGCCCTTGTGTGCCACCTGCTCAAAGCCGAGAAGAAGAGGAGTTCACGGAAACAGCGGAATCAGCCATGGAGCAAGAACATCAGATGCTTGGAAGAATCGCTGTTCCCCCTCACTCAACTCAAGGTGCACAGGCCAAGCTGCACTTAAGGGCTGTGGACTAAAGGTGCATTGCAAAATGGGATTGATCCCACTGGTTATCCGTAGGCAGAAGGTGTTCATTAGGCCTCAGAAGAGTCGGCTTCTTTATGGTGCCAAAGAAATGGCATCTGTAATCATCTTGGCCAGTAAATCCAATGCCACAAAAACAAAGGAAGGGGTCCAGCTCAGCTAATCGTAAAGCAGAGGGATTTCTCTGGGTGTGCCAGAGAGCGCGCCCCTTCTCCATCACCTGGTGGTCATGGCATCTGTTGCCATAGAGATGATAGGGTACTGTGAAGAACGGGTCGTGGCCTTGCTGCTGAAAGCGGGGTGGTGCAATATGAACCTTGTGGGCAATCGTGCACAGTGATTCACAGGGGCTGCTTTCTAGCAGATTCCTCCTGGAGGATAGTAAGCTTGTCGAAAGGCAGCCAGGTTAGGCCCAGGGAAGAGGATCTTGTTGCAAGCTAGATGGACTGAATGAAGAGGCCGAATTCTTGCTTTGTTCGACGTCCATCACTTCAGGACTGTAACCAACAGAAGGTGGAGGACATCTCTGACACCTTTCAGAATGTTCGTTTTTTTCTTTTCGAATCATGGGTCCTTAACATTTCTACTTGTGGAGACACAAAGACCAGCACAAAGAAACCTGCAGATAATGACCTCCTAGATAGTATACTAAGGGTTGTTCCCCACTGTTGAGTAGAGGTTTGTCAGAGTTTCCGGCAGCAATCACATCCAGAAAGCACACACAGGTAACTGATTCAGCAGGATTCAATAACTTGTCTTTATATATAATATAACACATGAAGTAAATATACAATACCAAAAGCAGGTTTTCCAACGTGGTAGTAAATACAAGCAAACACCAGCAGAGGAGAGAACAGGTTAAGTTTCCGTTCAGAGCAGCAGACTAGTTTAGAACTTTTAATATAGAAGTTAAACTAAGCCACACCCAGGCTCCTAGCTGTCTCCAGCAGATACTGTTTCAGTTTCCAAACAGCCCTCATTGGCTGACTTGTTGCCATGTCTATTCCAGTCTATGAACATTCATACTCTGACAAGGTTCTCTCCATCTACCTATGAGCTGGCCAAAAGCTATGCCAGCAGGGAGTTAGCTGTCCCTGTTACCAATCCCTATCCCGATTCTGTCGCCCATCAATGCAGTCTCCTGAATCCCTTCAAGGAAATGGGGTGACAAAGGGACAACAGATTTTATGCCCCTTAGATCTGCTCTGGAGGGAGTCAGAATATGTCAGGGGAAAAACACTATTTGAATACAGTACAGCTGAAGAAGAATCTTCTAGCTAGAGAAGATAAGCCTTTTTCCTCATAAACTGCGGATAAGATGACGGGAGCACCAATGTAGATATCACAAAACAAAAGGTATTCTCAGAGTGTGTTGTTACTGTGTGCGAGTGGGAAAAGGACTTACAAAGTCATACAATTAGGTGGATTTAAATGGAATCAGCTACCAGCTTGCCTCACATTTGACCGCTCCGTTTCCAAACCAGCAAAACAAGCCTGTTGCTAGGAGAGTTGTAAGAGATCTTTACTTTGTTTTGTGTGTTTAATCTGTGGAGTTGGTTGTCGCTGTTGCTCAGATCCTACATCTGTTCTTGGTGCTGCTATCTTGAAACACAATAATAAAGATGATTTTTAAAGGAAACACAAAAATGCAAAGGGCACTTTTCTGCTTTAGGTATCTACAACATTGTATTGATGGTCCCTTAAAAAAATAGAAACCTTGATAAACTAAAGTCACCATGCCTTATTTAAAAGTATTTCTGTGCCTCATGACTTTGAAAGTAAGCGTGCCAGTCTTTTCAATGAATAACCCCCTGATGGAAGGGGTGTCTGTGTTATTCCATAATGCAGCGTTAGCCAACTCGTGGCCTTTCAAATACATCGTGTTTACAGCTTCCAGACCTAACCACGTTGGTTTAGAATTCTGATTAGATCCAACATATCTGGAAGACAACAGATTGGGGGAAATTGTCCTAATGACTTCAGACAGTTGGCTCTTCCATTTAAAATAGTTTTGTACCTCAGGATCTATTATTGTTTATTTTTATTTAGATCTAATTCTAGATCCACACCAGGGGTGGGTTTCTCGCCCCGTTCCAACCGGTTCGGTTGGAACAGGGTCGGCGGTGTCCTCGTGCACGCGCGCGGTGCATGCATGCGTACTAGCGTCTGTGCGACGCTCCAGCTGCTCCTGGATGATCGCACAGGCGCTGTATGCATCCTGCGCATGCGTGGAAGCGCAGAACTCGTCAAAACCAGGTAAGGACTGCGGGCGGGCGCCTTCGCCGTTCCCGGAAGTTACTTACTTCCGGGTTCGGCAACCAACCGGTTCGCAGGGACCGCCGCGAACCGGTTGAAACCCACCCTTGATCCACACAGACATTCACATATATAGGTAGCCCTCGATGTATGACCACAATTGTGCTCAAAATTTCTGTTGTTAAGTGAGACATTTGTTAAGTGAATTGTGCCCCATTTTATGATCTTTCTTGCCTCAGTTGTTAAATAAATCACTGCAGTTATTAAGTTAGCAACATGGTTGTTAAGTGAATCGGGCTTCCCCGTGGACTTTGCTTGTCTGAAGGTCACAAAAGGTGACCACATGACCCCGGGACACTGCAACCCCCATAAGAAAAACATGCCTGCTACCAAGCATCCCAATTTTGATCAGGGTGAGCATAGGGAATGTACAAAAGTGTGGAAAATGGTCATAAATCACTTTTTTCAGTGCTTTGTAACATCAAATGGTCGCTAAATAAATGGCTATAAGTCAAGGACTACCTATATACCATACAGGGCTTGAGGTGGGTTTTTTTTAACTTTCTTATATGTCTTTCCATTTCATTGTTCAAATAACCCAATACAATAATGTATAAATAAAGGCACATTTCTGCTTCAAGATAAAACATATCTCATCAGTAGCTATTCTCTGAGGAGACGGTGGCCTTTAAGTCAAGAGTCTCACTGAGTCATTGTTGTATCTTATTCAAATAATGCCGAAGGAGTTTCAGAGCTTACAGTCAGATATCTTCCATCTCCCCCCACCCCACCTCTTTTCTTAAAGAAACAAAAATCAGATAATTTTGGAATGGCTCTAGGGAAGAACGGAGCTAAAATTTCCTGTTCCCCTGATCGATTCACTGCCTCATTGGCAAAGAGAGGAAGCATGGTAGTGTAATAGGAATTCCCCAAAAGGAGTGAGGAAATCAAGCAAGCTGTAGTGATTTAAATTTAGCTTGAGATAACCCCAATCAGGAATATAGTTGAAATACATTTTCCATCAGATCTACCGGGGGATTCATAAAGATTTCTCTCCCCCCCCCCCCCCCCCGCCACTCACTGAAATCACACTAGTTCCCAGAGAGGCCCAAGTCCATGGCAATTTCAGTTCTCCAAACAGTTGCAAGCCAAAATCAGGGTGAGTACAGAAGTGAGGGTGAGGCTAAGAATCATTACAGAAACAGGTGGGAAATTATCTCCTGTCTGAACTAGTTCACCGTGTTGCTTTTTCCTTGATTTTCTTTGGGTGAATCTCCAATGGAACCCCTAGTTTCCTAAAAAGGGATACGTGGGAAATAAGGCAAGATGGGGAACCCTATAGACAGGGGTGGCCTGCTACGGGTTCACCTGGGTTTGGGAGAATCCAAAGCTAATGTTATGGCAGGTTCGAAGAACCTTGAAATCCCATCTGTGGCTGGCCCCGCCCACCCCACCCTGCCCCTCCCTGGAGTCTCCATGCGGCCCATTTTGGATGCAAGGTAAGTGCAGGGCCCGTGCAGAGGCTCGGGGAAGGGGAAGTTCCAGAAGGCCAGAAATGGGCCCTTTTCCAGCCTCCAAAGGGCTTCCGGAGTCCCGGGGAGGTTCGAGGAAAGCCTTGGGAGCCTGGGGAAGGCGAAAACTTCCCACCACCACCATGATGCAGGAGGTCAACTGGGCCACGTCCACCCTGGCCACGCCCACCCAGCAATCGGGCAGCGAACCCATTGCTGAAATTTTTGAAGACCACCCCTGCCTATAGAGGAGATTGTCTTGAAAAAGAGAAGAGGGAGGAATTACAAAAATATGAGGTTACCCCAGAAAGGCATGAGGGGGTGAGAGAGAAACTTACAAATAAGAGTCAGGCTTTTAATTGTTGTTATTCAAATAGTCCTCAACCTATGCACACAACTGAGCCCAAAATTTATGTTGTTAAGCTAGACAGCTGTCAAGTGAGTTTTCGGCCCCATTTTACAACTTTTCTGCCTCAATTGTTAAGTGAATCACTGCAGTTGTTATTAATAACTCAGTTATTAAGTGAATCTGGATTTCCCATTGATTTCACTTGTCAGAAGGTCACCAAAGATGATCTCGCGACCCTGGACTCTGCAACCGTCATAAATACGAACTGGTTGCCAAGCATCCAAATTTTGATTCCATGGGGATGTGGCAGTGGTGAGTTCCAGATCCCGTTGCAATGGTTGCAACGGGGCCCGGCTTCTTCCACATGAACCCACGCGTGCGCAGCGCATGCGTCCTACCATCTCATGGTTCTATTCTGAAAGGCAGATGTTTCAAACTTCCCTCTTTTTAAAAAAATCAAGGTTTATGTGAGCAGAAGTTGTACAATGTTGTATTACTTTTAATTTTAAAATTTAATATAAAATGAAATGCCGCATGTCTCCACAGCTAGTCCTTGACTTATAACCACAATAGAAAGTAGACTTTCAGTCGTAAGTTTTTTCTACCTTCTGACAAGCAAAGTCAATGGGGAAACCAGATTCACTTAATAACGGAGTTCCTAATTTAACAACTGCAGTGATGCAGTTAACAAACGTGACAAGAAAAGTCGTAAAATGGAGCAAAACTCACTTAACAAATTTCTCACTTAACAACATAAAATTTGGGCTGAATTGTGGTTGTAAATTGAAGACTACCTGTACATCTTCCGAAGCCATCAACGTTCATTCCACAACCATCAACTATATAAGTGTTGTCCCAAAAAATGCTGGGTTTCGTTTTGGGTTCACTTACGCCTACCACGCAAATCAAACACACAAGGCACGAAATTGCTTTATTCTGTTTTGGAACAAAGGGCATTTGGCATAAAAGTTTCCACAGCAAGCGCTGTTAGTGGTAGGGAAGTGTGATATGTTGGAATGTCTTATCTATAAGTGCTGGTCGTCTCCTGGCTCCTTTTGTGTTTTAGGTTGTTCTATGTCAAGGCTTACCTTTGTCTGATTTTTAAACTGAAAGGAATTTCTGGTTACTGGTATTTGTCTAACGCAGTGTTTTTCAACCTTTTTGTGCAAAGGCACACTTTTTTCATGAAAAAAAATCACGAGGCACACCACCATTAGAAAATGTTAAAAAAATTTAACTCTGTGCCTATATTGACTATATATAAAGTGTTTTTCCCACGGCACACCTTATACTATGTCAGGGCACACTAGTGTGCCGCGGCACAGTGGTTGAAAAACACTGGTCTAACTATTAATGCAGGTCAATCCAGGTCTACAAATTTGTACCCCATGAAATTCTATCACAAGGACCAGGACTTACAAGTCTAATCCAGGCCCTATAGCCGTGATGGCAAACCTATGGCACACGTAGCCATTTGTTAGGGCACGCAAGGCATTGCCCTGTCAGCTCCAACGTGCATGGGTACGCTGGCCAGCTGACTTTGACCTTCTTTTAAGGCAGTTTTTGCCCTCCGGAGCCTTCAGGGAAGCCTCCCAGAGGCTCCAGAGGGCAAAAAACGGCCCTACGAGCAAACTGAAAGTTCATTCCTGAATTTCTGGTTTGTCCTTAGGGCTGGTTTTTCGTGCTTCGGAGGCTTCAGGGAAGTTCCTGAAGCCTCCGGAGGGTCTCTGGTGGGGGCGGAGGCTGTATTCGCCCTCCCCAGACTCCTAGAATGCCGAGGTGGTGCAGTGGTTAAATGCAGCACTGCAGGCTACTGCTAGATCAGCAGTTCAGCGGTTCAAATCTCACCGGCTCAGGGTTGACTCAGCCTTCCATCCTTCCGAGGTGGGTAAAATGAGGACCCGGATTGTTGGGGGCAATATGCTGACTCTCTGTAAACCGCTTAGAGAGGGCTGAAAGCCCTATGAAGCGGTATATAAGTCTACTGCTATTGCTATTGCTATTGCTCTGGAGCCTTGGGAGGGTGAAAAAAGCATGCCAAAAGCAGGGGGTCATGCTGGTCGTGCACGCATGCGTGCTGGGGTCATGCGCAAAGCATTATGGGTGTTAGCCATCACTGCCCTATAGCAATGTGTCTTAACCATGGCAACTTTAACACGTATGAACTTCAACTGCTGACTGAGAAATTTTGGGAGTTGAAATCCACACATCTTCAAGCCACCAAGGTTGAGAATCACTGTCCTACTGTCAGGCCTGCAGTCATATTCTTTTTAGGATATTTGGCCTGCCACATTCTCTCTTATTTTATTATGCTGTTTCATTAGTGGGGAATTGGGAGGGGGGATAGGAAGGAGTAGAATGTTGTCAAAATAAAACATTCTTTTCTAGAAGCCCAAGGTCATTCTTTGTCTCCGCACCTCTGCACCTGACCGGAACTAGATGGGTGGAAATGCCAGTGTGGCAGAGGAAGATTGGACCATGTGATGAACTTGTGGGTGTAGGGCAAGATCATGAACTTTCAACTGGGTGGGAAACCCCGGAAGCTTTCGGATTCGGGTTTCCACAGATGTACCAACATGTCTCTCTCAATAAATTGGAACTTTGAAGAAAGCTCTGCCTTGGACTCTGATTTAATTTTGGATGATATTTGGAACACTGACACCTACAGGATCACGGGGTAGGTCTTTCTACTGAATTTAAACCAGAAATTGGCAGCTTTTGATTCTAAAGGACTTTAGAATCCTTTAGAAATATTCATTAGAAATATTCACTTCAGGTCTTGCGACTCTCACAAAATGGCTGCTTTGGGTTTGTTCTTTTTTAAAAATATATAATTTGTATTAAGATTTTTTTATGTAGGCAAAAGACAAAGATGAAGGAAAACTGCACCATGAAAATAAGGAAAAATAAAGAAAGAGAGAGAGAAAGTGGAGAAAGCAAAACAGTAGAAAATAGAAAGAAAAATAAAAAAAGAGAAGACGGCAACTTCTGAATCCTTTCTAACAATTAGGAACAACCTTTTTAGTCCCTCCACCCCAGAGGTGGTATTCAGCTACTTCTGACAGGTTCTGGAGAACTGGTAGGAGAAATTTTAAGTAGTTCGGAGAACCGGCAAATAGGCTGGCCCTGCCCCTGAAGCCTCCCAGCTCATCTTCTTTTGTTGCCCTGAACAGGAGAATAGAGTTGGAAAGCAGGTTAGTGGGGTGGGGAAGGAATGGAGATTTCCCAGTAACCTTCCCCCAGGAGTGGGGAGGGAATGGGGATTTTGCAGTATCCTTCCCCTGCCATGCCCACAAAGCCACACCTCACTCACAAAGCCACACCCACAGGACCAGTAGTAAAAAAAATTGAATCCCACCACTGCTTCACCCTCACTAATATTATAAAAATTCCTTCAGCAATTTGTTCAGACTTTTTCAATTATTCAATCCATCCTTTCACTTGTTTTTCATTTTCAGTGAAAAATCCACAAAAGCATATTGATCTTGTAAAAGTATTTACTGTTTTTCACAAGGCTGCTTAAGGGCCATGGTGGCTCAGTGGCTAAGACTCTAAGCTTGTCGATCAGAAAGGTCGGCAGTTCAGCGGTTCAAATCCCTAGCGTTGCGTAACAGAGGGAGCTCCTGTTACTTGTCCCAGCTTCTGCCAACCTAGCAGTTTGAAAGCAGGTAAAAAATGCAAGTAGAAAAAATAGGAACCGTGGTGGGAAGATAACAGCATTCTGTGCGCCTTCGACGTTTGCTCGTGCTGGCCACATGACCACAGAGATGTCTTTGGACAGGACTGGCTCTTTGTCATTGAAACAGAGATGAGCATCACCCTCTAGAGTTGGGAACGACTAGCACATATGTGCGAGGGGAACCTTTTACCTTTTTATACCTAGCTACTTACCAAATTTGAGAACACAATTTTCTTTCTTCTATTTTGCTGTAAACGCATAGCAGTTACAACAGTGAATTGCCCAAAACAGCATATTATCCTTCTTTTTATGACATGAAACTGGGATCCTCTCCTAAGCTAACGTAGGCCTCAATCTGAAGGTTTCAAGCCACACTGTGTGATTCCTTTTGTTTGTGGACTTAATGTGTGGTGTGACCTTCCACCATGACAACTCGCTCAGTAAACTGGGACTAAAACAAAACCCCGACACATAAACGTTGCCAGTTTTGGTCCACGCCCAAAAACTTCATTTTTGGTCCGCTCGAAATCTGAAACTTTCCAAAGGAATAACATCTGGATTTGCTCTGGTGGCATTAGGGAAAATGCTGGATTTAGTCAGGCGGTGATTTTGTTTCCTGTCTTCTCTGAAATGCTTTAGGCTCTCATTACTGGCACCCTGGCACCCAGCCCAGGTTCTTTGGCATGTCCTTTGGATTCCAAGGGAAGTTCTTGCTCCACCTCTTGGTCTTTATTGTCCTGTGACGTAAACCTGGTAGTAATTGCAAAAAGGGGAGGATATTTATTTACGAAGTCAGATCTGGCAAACCGAGCTAGGAAGTATCATCCCGAACTGGGCAGCTCTTTGGATCTTCTGCGGGCCATGAAGAGATCTTCTGGCTAACTGGATCTTTCACCGGCTTTGTCAGCCTAACTCCAAAGATTGAAAAACACTGTGAAGACCCCAATTCCTTTGGAAGAAGAAACCGGGAAATAGTGTACCAAGGCAGGATTTAAACTTACTCTGCGGAAAGGCAGGTTGGGCAGTGGGAGGCACAGGGTCTGACTCTGTATCATGCTGGTAATGAGTTACAAGAAGAGCGATTGCTTGGCTACCTGAGATGCAGTTACCTGCCTTGGTGCTGTTCCTAACTCACCTGCTTTCTGCCTGCTTCCCCCTTGCAACGTCACTGAACTCTGTCAGTTGCTCACCGGTAAGTAAATGTCTTGCAGTGGGAGGAGGCAGCGAAGTTTAGAATCGGACAAAATAATCTCTAGGATCTGTTGTTCCCTTCCTTTTTCCTTAGCCCACTTGTATTTTGCACTATTGCTGTGTTGCAAACTAACATTGGCATTGGCGGTTGATCGGGACCTCTGACAGCTTGATATCTCTGCTGAGAAGCATGTTTATACCCGTGTTAACATTGTGCTAGGAATATAATCTAACGGTTGGGTTGGCAATATATATTACTAATGCAGCAAACAGCAGGATAAAGCTGGACAAGTTATTTCCTGGGAACAAGATAAGGCATATCAAGGAAGAATGAGTGAAACTGGAGCTGTGTTGCAGTGATGTTGCAATACTTAATGAAGGCAAAATCCGTATTTGAGGGACAGTGGCAGATAGGACAATGCTCCAGAGGGTTAACGTCATTGCCCAGAGGATCATTGGTTGCCCTCTCTCCTCTTTGGAAGAGCTTTATAGCTCACACTGCCTTAAAAAAAGTTCAAAACATTCTTAAAGATCCATCTCATCCTGGGCACCCTTTTTTAAAAAAACTATTACCATCTGGCAGACGGTACAGGACAATAAAAACAAGAACCAATAGGCTGAAAAACAGCTTCTATCCCAGGGCAGTAACTATATTGAATTCTACTGTATAGTGCAATATTAATGCAATATCAGGGGTTTTCAATTATAGAATGTGAAGAATGTGTTTCTTTATATGTATAATGTCCACTAAAGATAGCATTTAATCTCATTGTATGAGGTGCAATGACAATAAAGTAAACCAACTACAAATGAGCTATCATCACCATAAGTGTGAAGGTGCTTCAGGAATGTAGCCACTAGACACAAAGATCATTTCATTTCATTTATTTAATTTATTAGTTTGTCGAACATGTACAAGATAGCAGGTATAAATATAAACATGGACATGAGTGAAAGAAATGAATACAAATAAATCGGTACAGTAGGACAGGAATGGTAGGCATGCTGGTGTGCTTATGCCCAGCCCTTTACGGACCTCTGAGGAATGGGTGAGGTCCATGGTAGACAGCTTAAGGTTGAAGCTGTGGGGGTTTGAGGAAGTTAACAATGGAGTCAGATAGAACATTCCAGGTGTTGACTCTGTTGCTAAAGTCATATTTTCTGCAATCGAGTTTGGAGCGGTTTACCTCGAGTGTGTATCTATTGTTGGCCTGTGTATTGTTGTGGTTGAAGCTGAAGTAGTCATTGACAGGTAAGACATAGTAAACAGCTTTGTGTTCTGTGCTTAGATCAGATGGCACAGTTCCAGATTGTCCAAGCCCAAAATTTCAAGCCTGGTGGCATAAGGGATTCTATTGTGAGTAGAGGATTTCTTTCAATAGGATTAGGTAGAAGCAGGGGTGGGTTCCTGCCAGTTCTAACCTCTTCTATAGAAGAGGTTCCACAAATCTACAGTGCCATTTAGAACCGGTTCCAGCTCCCTCCTCCTGCCTGTCCGCACATCATCAAGATGAAGAGCGAGAGGAGGAATTCTGGGAGTTGAAGTCAACAAGTCTTAAAACTGTCAAGTTTGAACACCCCTGGGTTTTTTTTCTAAAGGGTTAGGGTCTTGTAACTTGACAGCTTTAAGACTTGCGTGCTTCAAATGCCAGAGTTTCTGAGCCAACATTTTGGTTGCTAAGCAGGAGCGTTGTTAAGTGAGTTTCACCACATTTTACAAGTTGCCCATGCCCACCCAGTCACATGGCTGGCAAGCCATTCCCACCTGGTAACATGGCCACAAGCCACTCCCACACAGTCACATGGCCAGCAAACCACTCCTACCCGGTCACGTGGCCGACAAGCCACTCCCACAAAGTAGGCCACACCTACAGAAGAGGTTCTAAAAAATTTTGAAACCCACCACTGGGTAGAAAGTTGTTGAGGAGAAACAGCCTTTCTTAAAAATCTTTCACATGAGATAAGTCTTTTCCTGCTTTGTTTGTTTGTTTGTTTGTTTGTTTTAGGAAATTTAAATTGCCGCCTATTCACACATGGCTACTCAAAGCGGCTTTGCTTTGTAATGAGTGGCAAAATAGGACTATTCCCCAATTCCATTCCTTCAGGAGCAGAAAGATAGAAGGAGATTCTAATGAATATTAATTACCAGATATGAAAAACTAGAAGAGTTTTTAACTTAATTACAAGACATTCCTGAACCTTTATTCAAAACAGCTCCTCCAATTTCCTCAAAGTGACATCAGCGTTCTAGAAAAACCCCGAGGTTTGGAAAAGTTAAGGTAGGGGTGGGTGGAAAGGACTTCCATAGCAACACTTTCTGGAAATACAAATTATTTGCAATGGCAAGATGAAAGACAGAATTGAGAGGGAAATGGAACAGAATAAACTGAAAAAAAATGGCATTTCTGAATTGCTGGTTGGGTAACATCCAGCATATTACATCACTGTGCGTTATTAGAGATCTCACTGCTGCGAGTTATTGCAAAGGTGTAAGGCGAGGGTTGTTTAAGTCACTTTTTTTCAGTGTCCTCTAACTTTGAACTGTTCACCAAATGAATGGTTATAAATCAAGGAGTACCAGTACTCCTTGATTTAATGTTAAAAAAAACTTTTGTTTGCTGAATTTTGACATATGCTGCAGCACAGCCAGTAATATATTTACTCAACTCTCAATTGTTATAAAAAACAAACAAACCTGAAACTCCTTCCAAATGCTTCCATATTCAGCTAAGTGGCAGTAAGCAAAGTCACACTTTGAATTTTTCAGCTTGGTTCCCCAAATCTCCCATCGTGTCAGCAAATGGATTGGATAATGGCAAATAGAATAAATGCCATTCTTCCATTCAGATTAATATGCTTAGGAGGTACTTCCAGTAGGAAACATGGATTACAAGTACTCCGTGATTTACAACCTCAATTGGGACCCGAATTTCCATTCTGAGCAATGCATTTGTTAAGTGAGTAATCCCAATTTTACGACATTTCCTGAAGCCTTAAAAAAGACTCTGGTTGTTGCATGAATCACTGCAGTTGTTAAATGAGTCATGCAGTGGTTAAGAGAATTTGGCTTCCCCCATTGACTTGGCAGGACAAGAAACAATGGATGGAAACTAATCAGGGAGAGAAGCAACCTGGAATTAAGGAGAAACTTCTTAACAGTGAGGACAATTAACCAGTGGAACAGTTTTGCTCTCAGAAGTTGTGGGTGCTCCATCACTGGAGGCTTTTAAGAAGAGATTGGACAACCTTCTGGCTAGATGACCTCCAAGGTCCCTTCCAGCTCTATTCTGATTGATTTTAAATGCTGATCACATGACCCCAGGATGCTGCAACTGTCATAAATACATGCTAGTTGCCAAGCACCTGAATTCTGATCACCCGGCCATTGCTTTTTTTCAATGCCCTTATAATTTTGAACAGTCACTAAAGAAATCAAGGACTAACTGTTTCTACAAGAGAGACTAAGACATTTTTGTCTCCTCGCTCATTTGGCAATGAGCTAAAACGCTTTTTTTTGGTTTTATTTTTGTTTTATATATATATATATATATATATATATATATATATATATATATATA